TTTCGAAATAGAGAAAAATAACATTTCAATAAATGAGGTGGGTCAAACATCGCAAAGATGATATTGTCACCATGCTTGAAAAAAGGCCTCTCTACTGTAACACCTAAGTTTTTCATGCATTTTACATTAGATGCTCCCATATCACAAACTGTAGCCACGACCTCAACTTTTGCAATATTGTTCGCCGCTTTAAGAACTTGAAACAAGCAATGTTCCAAATTGTTCGCATTACACCCATTGCTTGCAAAGAAGTATGCTACGGGTTGCTTCCAATTTTTGCTAGCCCTACTAGCATAAACAATAAGGCTTTATTGGCGGGTTTACTAGATGTTCTTCCACCGAAATTTTCGAATCCGAGAATGTTGTCGCTGCCAAGATCATATTCAATGTTCTCTTGAATATCCATCTCATCGAATAGAAGAACGCAACATCTGTCTGAAGAACCTTCAATCGATTCATTTATATGCGAGAACAGATGTTCGTTAATCCCAACATGAAATGGAACTTTTCCCAGCATTGACAAAAGTGTTTTTTGCTAGGTAGCCATACAAATTTTTGGAGCATTCGGTAGCATTTAGGACTTTTTTTATAACTAGCAAGAGCCATAACTTTATCATCAAAAGTCCATCTTCTTAATTTCGACCCTTTGCTTTTTGAGCATCTAATTTGAGCCAACAGAAAATTGGAGGTCAATGATGGCATGTCTTGAAACAATCCGTGAACTACGGCTGAGTCCGATAAATTTGCCAAAGCTTTAATGTCATTGCCTCTCTTCTTACACAAACGTTTCACTTTTCTCAACTGATTTTCTTTTCTGTTGATTATGCGAATTAATTTTAATTTCCTTGGGGAATTTTCTATATTGCTCAACCCTTCAACACTTCGAAACAACTTTCTAGTAGGAGTTACTGGAGGTTGATTCGATGTGCCTGGCTGGCATTTATCAGTCATATCACCTAAAAATAATAATAACACAGAAACTCTATTTACAAATAATGTTAGTTTGTATATACTTACTGGTAGTTAATGGAACATTTTCCACCCAAGTATCAGGAATAACTGGTGCTACATTTTCCATAGAGCTTTCCCCCCCGGTACACTCAATTTCAATAAATCTATTTGGAACTGCGTTACGAACAAGTCTCAAATC